AGCTTAGTTTTTCTGATAGTCAGTACTAGTAATAACCAGGTCCCATACTGGTAAGAACCAAAAATACGTACGACCTGGCGACCTGGGGACCTAACAACCCTGTAGAGATCATTGGTAGCGATGTACCCCGTACGACATGGCTCAGCGAGGATTCATCCAACATTCTTATACCAGACAACCAACGGTTTCTTTCTAGAAAAAAAAAACCACTCTAACTTAAGCCTTACACTGACTGCCACGATTCCAACCTTGCTGATCATGTTGCTGTTGCTGCTGCTTACGCCCCAGGTGATCCTGGGAATAAATGATGATAGTGTTCTTCCCCTTCGGTAGTTGGTTATTTTGGGGATAACATGACTCGTATGGAACACTGGTCCAATTTTGGTTTAATTCTAGCATAGCACTCATTATTACTCACTACATAACTAATTAAGCAGGAATGAATTCATCACCACACATAGTTGCAAAGGTACCAAATTATCATCATCATCATCATCATCATCATCATCATCATTTCCATCTCAGACTGCAAGGCTTAGACTTGCAGATACCCCCTATCGGACTGTTGCTGACCAGCCAGCCCATCACAAGCAACCTTCTGTAAACACACAGTATCCATACCGTACACAGTAAGCAGGTGAGACACACTGGCTGTGCCCGACACAGTAAGAAAATCACGAGTTACCTAGGTACGATTATAGCAATCCTTATACCTCGTATCACACTCACACAGACGTCTGATCACGAGTTCATCTTCTTGTGCTCTCTCCCCTCCGTCAAATCAATACCTCGTACACACACATATAAGGTAAGCCAAACAAAGAATATTCCACGACGTGTTCTCCTTCTCATCACAATCACAATCACAACGCATTCCCATGCTCCTCATGCAAGGGATCGCGCTCATGAGACAGACATAAAAGTACCCGGTCGGAATTCTTCCCCGTGGGTCTTCGTCTCAACATAATATGTACCATGTATGTACTCCGTAAGGTAAGGTGACTTGTTGTGTCCTTGAATTGAGCAGGTACCTTTTACTTTCAGCACCCAGCAGGTATTGTAGATACCCACTAACTACACACGGACACTGTGACTACTAGTAGATATAGGGACATGCACCGTTCTTCCTTCCGGGTTTCGGCGTGGTCGATCAGTTCTGCCGGGAGTCCAGATCCTCTCCGTGCGTCGTCGGTATACTGCAAACCCGGCTGCCGCCGGTCTTTGTTTGATGGACTCCCCCGAAGGGAGCAAGATCAAAGGCCGGTCGGTCTGTTTCATGTCCAGATGAAGGAAACAAAAGAAAGGACTGATGATTACCAACGGCTTCACTGTCCATCCAGTGGTCATTGCCACACAAGGCGATGCCTTTCAATGGATGAATAACCCGTTCGTCTACATACAGTAGAAGAAAGAATTACTTACTACACAACATTCTCCTCTATAACTACCATCCTTAACCATGACCAGGACAAACAAAGAGGTATCATATCACATCACAAGCCAAGCACGCTAAAAGAACATGGGAGCCAGAACCAGAAGAAGAAAAAGAAAGCAACTGCCTCATTCTCACAACTCCTTCGCTCGCCGCTCCCTCACCACTTCTTCCCGTTTGACCTCCCTTTCCACATCCTCCAGTCTTCCTTCCCATTCGGCCCAGCATTCACCGCCACTAACCAGCGCCACTTCGTACCATCGCTGCAAGACTCGAGCAGACCGCACACGTAGCTCGGAGATTTGTTTAGCCTGGTCCTCCTGAGTTCGTGCCAACTGGTCCAGTCGTGGCTGGAGCTGGATAAGCGACGCTGAAGTCTCGGCGTCCGGGATGGGGAGGTCATTCAACGAAGTAAGTCGGGACGCGGTCTCGGGAAATGCAGAAGCGTAGGATAGGACGATCGAGGCGAGGTTCTGTGTCGATAGATTCTCAGGGAGTGATTTGGAAGGTGTTTGGCGGAAGAGGTCGGGGAAGCGGTCGTCTGGACGAAAATACTTAGTTTAGCTATTGATCCACCCCCTACGTACACGGTTCATCAGATGTAAGAAGGTCATTCATACGGAGACTCAGGACATCTCTGACGGCCGGGATGTTTCTGCTCAGCTTTTCCAGGTCCCTCTCTAGGCGAAGAAGACGGCGCGAGACGCTGTCATCGAGAGATGCGGGCTTTGCGGGCGGCGTGGGATTGCCCGTCCAGTTTGCATCGCCGGTCAAGAGGTATGTGAGGCGCCGCAGACGGGTCTCGAGGAGCTCAATTGTGGCACCGGCGACCGCGTCGTTTTCGAGTGTCATTGTGTAGGTTGCTTAGTAGAAGGGGGCTGGTTACCCTGTTCGGACAATGTTGCTGGAACCACGGTTCTCGAATCTCGATGCTAAGGGGAGACGGCGTCGTTTGGGGGGGTGGACAATGCAAACGTGACATACAACATCAACAAACGGCACGTGGGGGAGCCCATTCTTTAGTCCCAAACAATGGTCAAACAAAACCCTGTTGATCCTAATGCGTCGCTCAGCCTTAAGTTGCTTCTCATTCGACATTCCAAGCGCTATTTCTAATTATGCCAGGTTCTAGATCTCGATTGCGGGACGCCTAGGTATCTAGTCTAAATGACAATAATTACGGGTCAACTTAAGACTTCAGCCCTGGGCGTCATGTCGCCTTGTCGTCGACTTGGTCCCACATCGCGTCGGCATTCTGCGAAGGTTGCACAGGTCCAGCTGTGCTACTTCGGCTGAGCAAAGGGCGTCCGCCTCTTTCCTCCATTTCCTGCCCCCGGCCCGCTCCCTCGTCAAATGATGGGACCTGGTAGTCAAACACGTTCACATTTGGCGTCGTACGACCTTCCTGTTGGTTGAGCGGTTCCTGTTAGATGTGTCAGCACATAATGTCCTGAGGTTTCAGCTATGCCTCCTGGGAACTGACAGAAGCACTCAATGCACGGTTCTGGCGGCCAGATTGGGTCCTAGTACTATCTGCTTCCTGACATTCGGCCTCAAATGCTTGATTGTCCAAGTGCACAAATTTCTGTAATGACTGCTGTTAGTTCCAGCCACTCTTGCATCCAATTAGTAGACGTTGCCTTACCTGAAGTTGACTGGGAGCTGGCTCTTCCGGCACGTTCATTGCATTGTTATTGGCGTAGACAAGCAAGACATTCTTAGATTCTTCGCGGGCCGCTCGAAGGACCTCAATTTCCCTGACCTTGCGAGCGGTATACCCAATGACGTCGGAGTTGTGCAGAGCTGCATCGCCTTCTGAGCTTGTTCCAGCCTGGCGATTCTTCGCATCGTCGGTCGAAAAGCTGATCCGCCACCATTGATACTCGTCATCGGCTGAGGTAGCGCATCCATTCGTGGAGCCTTCCGACACACGGCGCTTTAGGACATAAGTCACATGTGGCTCAGTACACACGCCTCGCAGTGTGTACTTGTGATGTGGTAATTCGCCCGAAGAAGAAGCTTCAGTGAGGATTTTAGAATAGCTCCGGAGGCTTTCCATAGCATCCTGCTTCTTAGTCTCCAGCTCTGTTTCAGGGACCAGTTAGCGCTGAGTGGCAATCATACGGGTCTTCGGGATGCTACCTTTGAGCTTGGCTTCTATTTTACAAGATATCGCTTTCAGCTCATCAGCCACCCTCTGTGCCTCTGCATTCGCCGACTCTGGAGTAAAGGCAGTCGTTTCATTTGACAAGCTCTTGGGCAGTGTCGAGGAAACCGCAGCAGCAGCTTTTTCCAGCGTCTCTCTAGAGGTCAGTCCTTGATGAATGACCGACTTAGATGTTGAGAAGCGATTCATCAAGCCCTCTAGTCTGAAGATTTTTTCGTAGATCTGGAGCCTTTGCGCACGGAACTCCCGCGCGAGATCTCGGTTGGCCGCAAGATACCGATCAGGATAGAAAACTGCAGGGATCTTCACATCAACGGGTTTATTAGAGCCTTCCAGCTTGATTGTGAAGACCTCTGCGACGTGTTCTAGCCATACGTCGTCAAGATCTTCGCCCGGCCTGTCGGACCACATGGTGTGGTCGATAACATCATAGAGAGTCTGACCATGCTCTTGCTCCACGTAGGAATCTAGTAAGAAGAACTCTTTATCCAATGGTGTGTCATAAATCGAAAGAGGTCGCTTATATGCAGTTGACGAGAATATGGTCGCCAATTGATTGTCTGGGTCTGCCCGGACTGCAGCTTCTTGCCACGATTCCAAAAATCTAGCCGCGCTGCCCTCCGAGTCGTAACTGGACATGCTTTTCAGGTTGGCTAATGCATCAGCACTTCCAAAGGCGCGATCGGTAGTGTCCAAAAATGCTGCCACACGCTGGGCTTCGTATATAATATCATCCCATTCAGTATCACCGTCCTGCGCGTCATCAATAGTGACAATCTTAGGAAGTGTAATAGACTGGCCGTTCCACCACTGTGGATCTTTTCCATAGTCCGTGAGAAGTCGGTTCCTGAGCAGAAGAGCTTCTCTCGCCAGAGGAATTGAATGAAGGATTGTCAATAGTCCACCCAGGTACATGTTGTCATGGGATGGTCGTATGAAGGCCGGTTCACCGTCATTCCTCCTCCGCTCTGCTGGATCGGGGCTTATGATGATTTCACGAGAGGTAGAATTGAACAACGTCATTGCCCAGGCGCCTTCATCATAGTGGTCACGAGTAGCTCGACCAAATTTCGCTTCATTCGTTGTGACACCTGTCTCTTGCTGCCCGAGATTTTGATTCAAAGACATGGCCATAGCTTGTTGCAGTTCCCGCTCCTCTTGCTCGGCCAAGGATAAGCCCTTGTTGGCGTCTGCGTGAAGCGGGGTTAGCCTAGCAGGAAATCAGGCAGTCCCTCAGTGTGCCCTCACCGTTAGCAGTCTGTGTTGGTGCAGGTGCGCTATGTTGATATTCAGAACCAGATGCCTGTTCACTCGAGTTTAGGGCTGATGGCGGGCGTGAAGGCGCGGTGATCGAGGAACCGGGGGCCGGGTCGGCGTGTTCGATCTGGAACGCTTCATCAAGGCACATCTGTCAGTACTAACTTAAATACACATCACTCTGACAAAAGAGATACAATCATACCAGGAACGGCAGAATCATTTTGGTATCCGATATTCTATATCGACATATGTCTGACAATCAGTCGCTGTTCCCAACACATCGTGCGCAGTTTCAGGACGTCACCTGCGTCTGAGGGCCCGTGGGGTCTTCGAAATAGGCATTTATGGCTTGGTTCGAGTTTAAGTTATTCGCCTACAGTCCGATCTAGTCAGTTAAACTGCAATGGTCCCAACTTAAATCAATGTTCACCTTGAGAAAGCTTATTGCCTGTTCGCGGGTTGAGCTGGTGAAGCTCACGAAGTTCGCAATAGCTTCCTCCGTTAATTCGGAGGCCATGTCGGAGCCTCCCCGTCTCAATCCCACCGGCTGGAGCAGGTCGCCCTTGCAATAACCAAATAAGTAGAAGCGCCCGATAATATATTCAACAGATCAAGTGAGGGCGACAACCAAAACCGGTCACAGTGCGAAAGCCAGATGTAGCTGATGGTGGAGGATTGTTTGAATCGATCGGGAGAGCTTCCCCACCACATGACATGCGGCTGCCAAGCCCCGGATAGCCAGACGCATTGCCTGCAGCAAACATGCGTCACGAATTCACTAGATTAATCCTAAGCGAATGCTACACAGTCCATCTACGTGAATATGATATAGTTTTCTATCACAATCATAAACTACTACTAGAAACAGTGCTTGAGTGCAGATTGCAATATTTTTGACGGCGAATAAGCTAAGGTTTCGCCTAAGCCGACAGCAGTTTTCCTTCTGAGATCCTCGGTAGCACTGCAAATAGCGGACTAATTTGTGTACTTGTTCACTAGTCTGTAATTGACGATGCTCATTAATAGGCATATGACATGCCTAAATATTCTGCGCATGTTCTAGTCAAGTAATACCTCATGTCAAAGGGGTCATCCACTTTGTCACGTTAGGTATATTTATATATATTAAGGACATCGACCTCTTTTAACTACTTACTAGTAGTACTCATAACCGCATGGTGATAATCAGGCTGCATCTGCTACTACTACTACTTGTACGGTATAACGGTACTATCTTGATCATAAGAGCTGGTATTAGAGGTACTACTAGTAGCAGTATTGGACAAAGTGAAAGACAGTGATGCCATGATTTCAATCAATACTAAGTAGTACTAAGTATAACCAGCTCGCGGCCTGGCTAATTAATAGTCACTAGTATATACTATAATTACTAGAATGAGTACGAACAGGAACCCGAACATAAGTAGTAGTCTCAAAGTACTAGGAGTACCAATCAGTACTCAGTAGAATGAATACCATTGTATGGCCATGTCTAGACTCCTCTACTTACCGCCTGCGTGAGACTTAACGCACGGGGTAGATTGGAATTGATTATTATTTATTTTTTTTTATATATATAATGGTAGAGATAATTTCGCAGTCCTAGTAATAATCGGTTTCAGTGATGGGAATTTTTGATATAATTCTATTTTAGAAGACAGAAATACCATGATTAACCTCAAAGGATGTTTATCTTGGTACATCAGTTAGTTGCTTCATTTTAGACCAATCCAATGCCCCGGCCAAACCCAGACACGAGCCAACCATCAGCAGGACAGAGTGTCTGTGCTAAATCTGCTAAATGGATTAGTCGCAGTTACTTTCCATCTAGCCTAAACCCGCCCCGTTTTTCCTCTCCATTCATCTGTCCCTTCCCCATTGTCAGCATTATTCCCACCACCGTTGAAGCTACTAGAGTCCATTTCGTTCGGGATCTTCTCCCTCTCTCCAATAATAACAGAAGTTGCACTAGAGAGGTATGTTCAATAGTCCGGCTCTGCTATCTATCTACTCTAACGAGACCAAGCCAGCACATCAGGATCATCGTAACCACGGTTACCCAAACCCCCTCCCGCTCTCCTCAATAACCTCTCCGCCCCTCCGTCCGCCCCGCTAGCTGGTGCGTTGTTGATGGTTTTCGGTGTCGACCAGACCGATTCTTCTCCAAGCGCTCCACTTCCACCAAACCTGACCGGTTGTGGGGGAGACCCGATCCTCTATCCACAGCCCGCCCTTTTGATCATATTTTTATTGGGTTTTTCGAACCCAAGCTAGTGAGGCGTCGACCCGAATTCCACGAATCATTCTAGAGCTGCCATCAGGGCAAAAAAAGGGGAGGGAGAGAAAATTAAGAAGAGGGAGGTGAAAAAAAGGCAATCTGCCCAAGCGCGGGACCACCCCTCCGGCCAAAATCCATCACGTCACGTTGTCCTCCCCGTCCTTGCCGAACCGACGTCGGCCGTCAACCTCCAGTCTCCCCGTCAGGATGGCCGCTGCTTTCGACGACGAGGATCTCTCTGTCTCGCTCCCACCCATCAACAATCCCGATCGCTCTCGTGACCGTACCGCCGGGACTGAGCCTCCTTCCAATTCCAACATCCCCGCCATGGCGATGCCTCCGCCATCCCGCCCGATCGGAAAGGGCGGCGAGCCTCCGATGCAGTCACCAGCAACCACCCGGGACATGCAGCGCCTCGACCAGTACCAGACGATCAAGATATTGGGGGAGGGCTCCTTTGGCAAGGTGAAACTGGCCATTCACCAGCCCAGTGGTCGCCAGGTCGCTCTTAAGATCATCTCCCGTCGCAAATTGCTGTCTCGTGACATGGTTGGTCGTGTTGAACGTGAGATCCAATACCTTCAACTGCTGCGGCACCCGCACATCATCAAATTGTACTATTCCCTGTATCATGCCGCAATGGCGGACAGAATCTGATTCGAAAGCTTCAACAATGGCTAACTTGCTGTTTTCCCGACAGGTACACCGTCATTGCCACCAAAACCGACATCGTCATGGTGTTGGAATATGCCGAACGGGAACTTTTCGATTATCTAGTCAAGAGGGGCCGGTGTAATGACGCTGAAGCCCGCAAGTTCTTCCAGCAGATTATATGTGCTGTGGAGTACTGCCATCGTCATAAAATCGTACATCGTGACCTCAAACCGGAAAACCTTCTGATCGATAGCGAGAAGAATGTGAAGATCGCAGATTTTGGTCTGAGCAACATCATGACGGACGGAAATTTTCTGAAAACCAGCTGCGGAAGCCCTAACTATGCAGCGCCAGAGGTTATCTCCGGGAAGCTTTATGCGGGGCCGGAGGTAGATGTATGGAGCTGTGGTGTCATTCTCTACGTGCTGTTGGTAGGAAGGCTTCCGTTTGACGACGACTATATACCGGCCCTTTTCAAGAAAATTGCCGCGGGCAACTTTCATATGCCTGGCTACATATCCCCCGGAGCTGCTCGGTTGATTAGGTCAATGCTGCAGGTACATCCTGTTCATAGGCTTACTATCCCTGAGATCCGTCAAGATCCCTGGTTCCTTCAAGACCTACCCAAATACCTACAGCCTCCGCCCGAAGAGTTCATTGCTACCGGTGTCGATCCGAATAAGGCCATTGATCCCCGCAAGTTGGTCCCGGGGAAGCCCCTGTCAGTGCAGCACAAAATCCATCAAGTAGCTATCTCCAAGCTGGAGAGAAGTATGGGTTATGCCCGCGACGATATCGAGGATGCGCTCAAGAATCCGGAGCCCAGCGCCATCAAGGACGCTTTCTTTATCATCATGGAGAATGAGATGATGCAGACCAATTGTGAGTACTACAGAAGATCTCTTTCTATGGGTCTTTGTCATTGTCTCTGTCTCATGTGAAGCGTGCTGACACTCTCCAGCGCCAACAGACGACAATATGTTGGTACCCCCGGTAACACCCTCGCCTCCTCCCGACAGGATACCTAAGCCTACTGCAACGTCTGGACGAGCAACTCCTGTTCCTGCTCCGGGAACCCCACCTGGTCCTCCAACAAGAACACGCAGTGGTTCGCAACGCCAGACCTATCAACCGCCTCAGCAGAGCGATGCCGACGATTTAAACGCACCTCGCGTGAGCCATGTTCGGATTTTACCAACGAGTTTACCTTATGTCCACGACCAACTCATGGAACAGCGCGAGCGCGAGCGCGAACGCGAACGTGAGCAAAGAATCCAGGCCACTGACCGGTTATTGGAGGAACAAGCGCAACGTGGTCCAGAATCCGAGGGAGACTCGCGCCGTGGTGGCCGCTCCCCGGAGGAGCAAGAGGCGACAGCAAGGGCTCTGAAGCCGCATTCTCGTAGTATTATAGACCTTGACAAGTTGCGTTTGGAGCCGCCTGAAGGTCGGAGTGCCCCGCATCAACCCAAGAAATCTCGCAAATGGCAGTTTGGCATTCGTTCACGCAATCAGCCTTACGAGGCAATGCTTTACCTTTACAAGGCCATTGAAGCACAAGGCGGGATATGGGAAATCCAGCCAGCTGGTGCAGGTGAGTCCACACTAGATCTACTTCTCGACTCAGGGTGATTAATGTATTTTCTCTTCAGATGGGTTGCAGATCGGAGTCAATCCGGCCGACGCAGGACAGCCGCAACCGCTGCAGAGCAAGTATCCTGACCTACCATCGGACTACTACATCCCGAAAGAACCGTGGTTCATACGAGCCCGCCTTTTGAAAGAAGGCGTCAGAGCTCCAGGCCCGTCGACCAGTGTCCACAGCAGTCGAAGTGATCTAGAGGAACTTCGCCGTCGCGTCAATCTCTCAAGTGCGCCGGCTTCCTTGGATGACAGAAATTTAACCCCAGAGCACGCGAGCATGTCGGGTCCTTCTTCTGCGACGCAGCATCATTCCATTTCGCGCATCTCTTATGGAGTCTGGGTGTTCGTCGACATCCAGCTGTACCAGCTCGAAGAGAATAATTACATGGTCGATTTCAAATGCGATGGATACCAGAATGTGATCCGTGGCGAAGGGGATGCCGATTGGCATCCCATCAGCAAGCGGTTCTGGAATAAGGAGAAAGAGGTCACTAGTCCCTATCCGTTCCTTGACGTGGCATCGGATTTGGTGGCTCAGCTTGCGGTTGCTAGCTGAGGTCTCAGCGAGTTGTTTCTAGGTTTGTGAAGGCGTTCGCATGGGTGTTTTGGAGCATATAATAGGCAGCATTCGGCGTTTCTTGATTGTCCAGCTATGCACCACTGTTTCTATCGGATGCATCTATTCAAGCTGGTAGCTGAGCATCATACCGACCAACCTTTATTTATAATATATTCCACATATTCCTCATATCAAATAGATCATGTCCAACAGCTTCTTCATGAGTCCGGTCTGAAAGGCGGTCACGCTAGATAGTTAACTTGCTTGTCTCCCCATCCGAACTATTCCGCTCTCCACATTTCTTTTCTTTCCCCGCAAAGACCGAATAGCCCATGGTTCTTTGCTTGCTAATGCGCAAACGCCCTGAAACTGATGGATCGAGTCAAGAAGTTCAAGTGCCACCAATGCAATAGGTCATATACCAAATTCGAACACCTTTCAGTACGTTTTGCACGCCTTCCCTTTGCCAGAGAACCCTTGTTAACAAGGCCCAGAGACATGAG